GATCTTGGCGGATATCCAGCACTTAGTTTCATCTTTTGAATGTATTTCTTTTATTTGGATCTCACGAGTGAGAAATGTAGAAGCAGATTTGTTAGCAAAGCAGGTTTTGTCTGCTGAACTAGCCTTAATGGCTGCACCTACCCTGGCTTGATTGAATTAATATAAGTGTGTTTCAAAAAAAAAAAAAAAAAAAAAAAAATTCATTCTAATCTTTTGACGGGGTGAAGGGTGTACTAAGCTGTCGTATCAGTATATACATTCTACTCTTTAAACGGAGTGAAGGGTTTACTAAGCTGTACGCATACTTAATTGTATGATCGATGATTACTCTTCTGGTTTCTACGGAATACGGATATTGTTTCCAGGATTGACTATGAAATTTTGAAAGTTTAGAATAATTTATTAGAATTTTGACAAACTTTTGTCTTTTTAAAAAAACAATTTTGGCGCCATATATACTAATTCTAGAATTTTGGAGACCGTAAATTAATATATTTTTTTATGTCCATGACCGGCTTCTTTTCTATTGTGGAGCTCAAAATCCAAGAATCACGGTGGTGCTGATTTAGTCTTCTGTTCTTTCTCATACCTTTTTGACGTAGTAGTATTGGACACCTAACGTTCCACTAACTGGATTCAACCATTTCTTATATTGCAGTTTATTGGCTGCAAAATTGTAATCTCAGCGAGCATACGCTATGCTTGTGGGAATGCTGCTCATGTTTGGTGTGGGTGTGGCCTGTGGGGCATCTAATGGCCTCGGCTGGGGAAAGATAGATGCGGTTTACAAAAACAGTTCATCGTTATGGCCTACAACATATAGTGTGGAACAGTGGAAGGAATGCACATATATATAATCCATTTTTATTTTCGTTAACGTCCTTGTTTATAAGAAAAGGAATGAAACTGGTTTTAAGTGAAATTCCTAAAGATTGTAGAGAACTGGAGTTTCTATGCACAATAAAACTTATGAGGATAAGGGATGTTTTTAAAAAAAAATTGCGCTAGAAGGAGGGGTCGAACCTCCGACCTTGTGGTTAACAGCCACACGCTCTAACCAACTGAGCTATTCCAGCTTTTGTTCCACAATTCTATATAATTATAAATAGCTACTATGTGTTACCTCTGTTAACAAGTAATGATGAACTCAAGCTCAGCCCACTGGTCAGAGAACATTGTCGATTAGCTTCAGATCTGAACGTATGAAGAGTTTTAGCTTTAGTTTTCATGCATTTCACGGGTTTCATAATCTTGATCCGTAAAATAAATATCTTCCGGCCCAACATATCTCTAATACAAAGTATGTAGATTTAAAGGTTTTGTCCTCAAATAGTATGGATCTTTTTATGTTTCCCTGGGATAGTAGTAGTACAAAATGATACTCCTCATGCCAATACTTTGCTAACCTCAAACAGAGACAAGGCTTTTTGAATATTAGGGTCGGCCCAACAACATTTGACACGTAAAAAAAACTAGGCCCAATAATAAGTTATACGAAGAGATATAATGAAATCTTTTTCCCACCTTATATCTTTTCTTGCTCAGAGAAGCTGATAGCTTCTTTTTCTTGTAGTCATTTGCAGCAATGGCTTCCTCACTCTCTGCATTACCTCTCGCTGATAGAAATTTTCGCAAATGGTGTTCACACTCTTCGTCTTCTCATTTCGCTCTGAGAGCAAGAGCCGCTGCAAAAGAAGTCCACTTCAACCGTGATGGTTCTGTCACCAAGAAGCTTCAGGTTTTCTTTCCTTTTTTTTTGTGAGTGATTTTTCGAGAAATTTGTTTTTCTTATGGAGGAAAATGGTGGTGAAGTTTGGTGCAGGCAGGTGCAGATATGGTAGCTAAGCTATTAGGCGTTACATTGGGTCCAAAGGGACGAAATGTTGTGTTGCAGAACAAGTATGGACCTCCCAAGATTGTCAATGACGGTGAAACTGTTCTCAAAGAGGTTACTCATCTTCTTCTTTTATTTTTTTTTATAGCCACACACGCACAAACACGCTTTCTGATGATTGATATTGTGTGGTGTAGATTGAGTTGGAGGATCCGTTGGAGAATGTTGGAGTGAAACTTGTGAGGCAAGCTGGTGCTAGGACTAATGACCTTGCTGGTGATGGTTCCACTACATCTATTGTGCTTGCTCATGGCCTTATCACTGAAGGTATTAAGGTACAAAAATTCTCATTATGACCATATAGATTACATATGCTTCTACTTCTATCTCATGCCTTTCTCTTCAGGTGGTTTCTGCTGGGATAAATCCAATCCAAGTTGCTCGTGGTATTGAGAAAACCGCAAAATCTCTTGTTTTAGAGCTTAAGTCAATGTCCAGAGAGGTGAAAGATCCATACCCTTTAGAGTACTCATGACAGTGAATGGAGTTAGTTACCTAGCTAGGCACTGATAGAGCAAACCATGGACCTCTGTGTTTGCAGGTTGAGAATCATGAGCTTGCTGATGTTGCAGCAGTTAGTGCAGGGAATGACTACGAAGTAGGGAACATGATCGCCAATGCTTTTCAACAAGTAGGAAGGAGTGGTGTGGTTACAATAGAGAAAGGAAAATACCTAGTGAACAATCTTGAGGTTGTGGAAGGGATGCAGTTTAACCGTGGTTACTTATCTCCTTACTTTGTTACTGATAGAAGGAAGAGAGAAGTTGAGTTCCATGATTGCAAGGTCAGAAGTCAGAACCGAGACCTCACAATTTTCTTTACCCGTTTATCTTGGAACTGCAGTGGCTAAGAGTATATATTACGTGTGTTGTTTGTGTATTGTAGTTGCTCTTGGTTGATAAGAAAATAACAAATCCAAAAGATATGTTCAAGATATTGGACTCTGCTGTTAAAGAAGACTTTCCTGTTCTTATAGTTGCTGAGGAGATTGAGCAAGACGCTCTTGCTCCTGTTATTAGGAACAAACTTAAAGGTAACCTGAAGGCGGCAGCTATTAAAGCTCCCTCGTTTGGTGAGCGCAAGAGCCATTGCTTGGATGATCTTGCAATCTTAACTGGAGGTAACACTTTTGCCTTTTGAGTATAGTTCTTCCCCACTTTCTTTCTTGTTCTTAGTAGTGAATCACTCGGTTACTCTCTCTCTCTCTCTGTGTAGCAACTGTGATAAGAGATGAGATGGGGCTGAGCTTAGAGAAGGCTGGAAAAGAGGTTTTAGGAACAGCAAAAAGGATTGTTGTAACTAAGGATTCAACACTGATTGTTACTAATGGGGACACTCAGAAAGCAGTTGAGGAAAGGGTTTCTCAGATTAAAAAACTTGTCCAGGTCCTACTATTATCAATGGTCATTACAAGTGACATCATATTTGAGTATCATGTTTTTCATTTTATCATGATGTTGTAATTCAGAACACTGAGGAAAATTTTCAGAAGAAGATCCTCAATGAGAGGATAGCCAGATTATCCGGTGGAATTGCATTAATCCAGGTGACTTTGCAAACCCATTGAAACTGAAAAACAATATGGTTTTCAACTAACTTTCAAAGGCCTTAGGTAGGTGCACAGACGCAAGTTGAGTTGAAGGATAAACAGCTAAAGGTTGAAGATGCCCTGAATGCAACTAAGGTAACTCAAGTGTCAAAACATACGAGTCCTTGTTCAGAAAATTATCAGTCCAAAGAAACCTGATATTTCTCAGAATTTTTAGTCAGCAATTGAAGAAGGGATTGTAGTTGGTGGTGGTTGTGCTCTCTTGAGACTGGCTGCTAAAGTAGACACCATCAAAGACACCTTAGACAACACAGAACAGAAGGTACTCAGTTTTAACGCTATGGAAGTGGAACTTACAGTTTTAAGCATATCATTTTAATCCTTTTTTCTTGAAATGAAGATTGGAGCTGAAATATTCAAGAAAGCATTGAGCTACCCTATAAGACTTATAGCCAAAAACGCAGGCACAAATGGGAATATTGTCATAGAAAAGGTACTGATAAATGTCATCTCTCTTAAGTAAAACCAGACCTAACTTGCACTAACTTGGTCTGAAAACTACAGGTCTTATCGAACCAAAACATGATGTACGGTTACAATGCTGCAAAGAACCAATACGAAGATCTGATGTTGGCTGGTATCATCGATCCAACCAAGGTAAATTCACTTTGATGATGATCTGTTTCAGCTTCTCATTTAACCTCTTTTGTCATATATACTAAATTGAAACAACACACAGGTTGTGAGATGTTGCTTGGAACACGCTGCATCGGTAGCTAAAACGTTTCTGACATCAGACGCAGTTGTTGTTGAGATCAAAGAAAACAAACCGAGGCCAATGATAAATCCACCATTGCCTACTTCTCCAGCTGCATCATCATCATCATCCATGTTCCCTGACAGAAACTTGCCAAGATTCCCTCAAATTATGCCCAGAACTCGAAACCACTTTCCAAGGAAGTAGGAAACAACAATCTACCTTACAAGATACATAGATAACATGAGAACGTCACATTTAAATGTAATCTCGAAACTTAACTACACGTGTATACATGTATGTGTATATGTACACGAGTGTTTCTGAAACTGCGGTAAGTGTCATAATCTCTGTTCATTTCTTACACGTGTCAAAGCCTCTTTTCTTTCTTACAAGCATTTGTACTAAGTTATCACCAAACACGAGATCTTGTCGTAAAGGGAGAAACTTTTCACGAGAATGATGGGAATAATAAGCGTGCAGACAGCGATGGATCTAGTCGTCGCCGGAATCTCGCTGATGATCGGATTAGGGTTCTTCGCTCTCATCGCCTCCATCCTCTGCTCCGTCGCCTTCTTCCACCATGCCAAAGCTGCTTCTTGACCATTCAAAGATTGAATCTTTGAGAGAGACAAAGAGCCTCTCATTGATTTCAGTTCAGTTTGTACAAGGAAAGACACACTGTAATCTATATTAACCGAAAAGTTTGTTCATTTCTTGATTTTTCTATTTCCGATCCATTTCTCCCAGTAAATCCTCGATTAACCGGAGGGAAGCCGGAGATTGTGTCTCCGAGAAGCATTGTTATACACTGGTTCTTGTCAAAATGTCGACTTTTTGCTCGGGTTTCAAGAAACCAGACCAAACAAGAGTTTAAGTGATGATTTGTTCTTTTGGGTTAAAAGGGTCTGCTGTGGATTACGTTGAAGCTCTCTCTAGCTTTTATTTTCTATTTCTGTTTCGAGTAAATAAAATTTTTAAGTTGTTTGGTAGTTGAGAGCCCTCAAAGTAATGACGAACATACGTTCCTATTATGTGTGGTATCCATTTTGGTAACAAAAAAACTTACATGCTCGTATCTGTCTGCACATTCAGAGATGGTTTTTATATGGTTGCTTAGATAATGGTATTGATTGATGACGAGTTTGCTTCTTGTCTGAAACGATCATTCGCAACTATGCTTATTTTATGTTCTTATCCTCAACTATTACTACATTGGCGGCATATTCAGACCTCTTGATGCATTGCAAGGTTGTTCTAACTCTCCAACATCTTCGGTGCCATTGTTACTAATGCTTTTACAGCTCTACAACCAGTAACCAGCTGGGAATGTTTATGTGTTTGCTTTCGGTTACTTCAACAGTGTTCATGAAAGACCTGTCCCACCTACTCTGTATTTTTTTAACTCACAAGTGTTCATGCTGTTGGTAGGTCTTATAACTAGAGAGGCTAGGACTGAATTTTTTTTTTTTCTCTATCCTAACAATTTTGTTTATGGATCATTATAGTTCTGTGATTGAGGAAAACTTCTGCATGCTTGATGTCCTGATTGGATTTGAGATAGTTTCTCTTGTGATCCTGGTAACCCCAATATCATTAGATTATGGACATGATTATTGTTTGACAGAAAGGTTTAACACTTAGTTTTGTTTTGCAATAGTACTGTTAGGCCTAGGTACTGTTTCGCAAAGCAATAATAATTGGTGGTTGTGTGGTGTATCAAGCAAGACAATGTTGTGTTCTGTTTGGTGTCATTGTCAACTAGGAAAGGAACCTGCACATGCTACTGTTGACACAAATGCTTGGTTCTCGCCTTTACTCGTTTAGCTAATCTGACCCTCCTCTGATGGTGAAATTGGTAGACAAAGTTCAGTGTTTTAAGCTTTCACCAAGCAACGTTCTCTCATGTATCTTACGTTTTTTGTGGGTCACGTAATTAGGTTGGGACTGCCCATCTTTCATTTTCATCTATCTGTATACTGCTCTTACGTGCATTATCATGGACTGTAGAATTATACAATAGTCCGAAAGCGACCTGCGAATTACATCAACGTGAGGGTCTTCCTCTTCTGGAAAGTTGCCAGCTAGAGTCTCTTTGTTGTTTTCTGTTCCCATTAATTCCTCATTAAGCTTAATACTTTTTGTAATGATTATCTAGAGCTCAATGATATGTATACAGCTATGAACAGATCTAATCTTGCTATAGCAAGTTCTGGTATAGCTGTCAGTTGAATTGGTCTAGTAAAGGACTTGTCTATATGTGTTACTTCTCTTAACTATAACTTTCCAGCAAACTGTTTCTATAGCTACTATTAATGCAATTATTATGCCATGTTTGTTTAACTTTCTCTGATGGGTGATGGCTTGTATTTACTGTTACTGATGGTTCAACTGTGTTGACAACGTGGGAAAGAAACGAAAACAGGTTCAGTTTTGATCTTTTCTAATAACTCATTTCCTGATATGCAAATAGTTAGTGGTTACAAACAGTTTATAGTAATCGAAAATGACAGTTTTTTTGGATGATTACGTTTTGTTGTTTTGTAAAAGAATCATGTGAAGCTCTTAAAAGTGGAAGGACATTTTGTTAGCAAGCGAAGCTCTGCTGTTAGCTACTTGGCCACACATCATTGAAACAATATTGGTAACCTTAGAAACTCCTGTTTTGACATCAACCCCTTTGTCATACTCATATTCAATGAGTTTTTTTTCTCTGGAAAAATGATTAGTATTTCATAAATGATGTGTGCTTGTCAATGGTTATAGATTGGTTATCATCTGGTTACTGTTTGTGAATTAATCAGGAAATGTCTGCTCTTCCTAGAATCATCTTCTTGATGGTTCATGTGTTGAAGATCAAGATACGTATGTGAAGAACATGCTACATATGATATAACAGGGTTGCAACGGAGAACCGTGCAGATAACTTATTTAGGACAGCATCTACAAAAAGAAAACATATTCCGGCAAATGAAAACAAAGCAACTACCTACACACATGGTTTATTAAAGACAAACAACAGGATTGGTGAGGGACCTTAAACATCTCTCTCTCTTCATTACAGAATTTGGATTCTATTATGTGAACCACCATATCTTCTTCTCATGAGTATCATTTGGTTTTGCTCACCTTGCCTCTACTCTGGACACGACTAGCTGCACTTGTTCTTGTTCTAGCTTTGAGCTCTGATTTTTCCCCTTCATTGCTTAATGCTTTCTCTGTGTGTTGGCGTTTTTGAATGTAGACTTGTTTAGAACCATTCTTCCTAGCTGCATGTTTGCTGATGTTATTTGGAAGCTGATTGCTAGGCCCTGAAGATGCATCAGAGGCCATTGAATCATCACTCTCTTTACCACCATCATCATTCTCATAATCATCATCATCATTCTTTACATGTGACTCATAATCATCATCATCATCATCAACCACAACAGAAGAATGGTCATTTCCATGAAAGGTGTCTCCTATGTACATAGTCCACCCTGACTCACAACTGCTGTATTCCTCCTCCTCAGAACCTCCATGGTTCCTAGGAGACTCCATGGCTTTGAGTAACGCAAAAAATAAACAAAACCAAGGTTTCAATATTAGCATATATGCACACACACATACACACAAAAAGATCACTAGATTTGTCTAGTTACGTACCTTGTTTGTGTCAATCCACTTTACCACTTTACTCTCTGATATAGGCTCTGTGTCTCTGTCTCTCTTTGGCTTTGCTCTTCCATCATCAATAAATAGAAGTTTTTTTTTTCCAAGTATCAAGAAAAGCCGGAGCCTATTAGAAGCCTCATATAATTGAAGAGGAGGAGTAAGTTTCACCACATGGCAACCCTAGCACCATTGTTTTCACTCAATTGAAGCACTACCAGACAAAGCCATTGCAGATATATGTCAACCAAGAAAGGTTAGTGCCTTCTTCAATATAAAGTACACTCTCATATAGAATTAAAAGCCTATCCTCTTCTTTATTTTCTATAATAATAACTAAATTCATATATTTATCTTAACTTTTTCTTAAACAAATATATTGGCTACTAACAAACTGTAATCTAGTCTAGAGTCAGGACACTTCAATATCCACTAAACAAGAATTATCCTTCTGAGCTCTATCATTAGTTAACTCATAAGTTGAACTTATCTTTATGTGCTCTTCTTAATTGATAATAATCATATGACGCAAGTAAGTCTTAACTTTTCCCTCTTGTGTATCACAGGCCATCTTAAATATTAAAGATCAGCTTTCGAGGTGGAAAGCAGAAGAGACCCACCTCAACAGCAAGAAGGAATAAAAGAAGCATTTACTTAAGTAGGTTAAGAGCTGTTTCTCTTCTTCATTCCTTTAATACTCTTCTTCCTCCTCCAATCCTCTTATTGTCTTAAACATTGTTGCAGCCTTTTCTTCCTGTCTCAATGAATTGAAAGGTGAAACCCAACTGGATTTTATTTGTCATTTTATTTTTTCTCTTAAGATAAGGACAAAACAAAAAAGGAGTATAACAACTGTCACAAAAGACACTTATTGAGTTCATATTACAAAAGGATTGTTTGAATATGCATTGTCTTCATTGTGTTTCCTGTTGCTCTCTGGCGTCATCACCTTAAAATGTTCTTCAATGGAAGCCATCTTGGTGACAGCTAGCAAATTCAAGTGTGTGATGAGATAATCCATATTACAAAAGGGTTGTTTTGTTTTGACTTTTTAACTCATTTTTGAGTAATGCTAAACAAAGTTATTTAGCTTTGATCTTTAAGACAGTTTGGTTTCATTAAAAACAGTTTTGAAAGTTCATTAAAACAAACAGTTCTGAAAGGAGTGGTACTAACTGTGGGTCTCACGAACTTGGAGAGATGTGTGTGTTAGGATTTATTACAGTTTGTACTAATCGGTAATGTCTGAAAACTGGAGTTGAACTCATTGGATTTTCTCATGTGGGTCTCTTTCTATCTCACTTGCCCTACGTGTGTGTGCGACTGTGGAATGTCATTGTACGTCACTATTATTGTCACCAAATTCATTTATTTATAGGCTTTAAGTTTTGATGTGTCATGGTTTCTGAAAGCATCATCATCACACTGGCTTGAACTAATTGGTAACTTAGGTTGGCTGCGTCGGTGTGAAAAAAGGACGGGGAATTGTGTTGCTTGCCTCGTTGGTGCATGTTGGACTAATTGTGAAGTTTATGGTGCTATGTCTGATGTCTCTAAATCAACTGATAACATGTTGAACTAATTCATTTTGTTGTTGGTAACTTGTAATCACTAGAAGAAACAAATTGAATTATTTAAGTACGTTTGATAGATTGGTTGAATCAAATCATATCTCTTGTTGTTTTCTAAAAGAATTAAATGGTCATGTGTCCTTTAGCCCCAGAATTTTGTTTTGCATGTCACCACCTCTCATCACTCATAGATTGTGTCTTATACTTTGGCTGTTTGTTTACTATGGCTTATATCTAATATAAATATACAGTATTTCAGACGATCCACAATCTGTAACATCTTATAAATATTTTTTTTGGTTAGTTTAAGAGACTTAATTTAAATGTAAATGCTAAATCGTAAACACATATACGGTTACAACTCTATAAATTAATAATCTTGAAACTACACCAAAACTATATTTTTTATTAATTTATAGAGATTCTTAATTTATCGATATATTAGTTGAACTAAAAACTCAATTTAAAATTATAAATTTATGTTATTTTATAGGAAATTTTAGTGTATATTAATTTAAAGAGATTATACTGTACATATAAGTGTGTGTGCGTCTTTTTGTAAACTATAGTTTATAATTTGTATTAGACAAACCCATATTGAACTTTAACACTTTGATTCAAGTATAAAACACAATTTTTATTGCTTTAGAAACTACATCAAAACTAAAAAAATTTCAATCTCTCTAATTTCGTAAGCAATGTAACAACTTTGGCATCATCTTATATATCAAAAGAAGTGTAGATAGTTTCTAATTTCATTAGATAATATATATTTAGAAAACTCATAAATTTACTATTTAATCCTAACCTTTTTAGAAACCATAATTTGACAGAATTAGGATAACTTATAAATCAAGTTATTTTCAAATTTAAATCAACATTCTCCCCTTTAATTTTAAACTCAACCTTCAACACATCTTAAATCCCAATGAAGTCTCTATCACTATAACCGACTAGTTTCATCTGGATCTACATTGCGACTACTATCACTATAGCCAATTAGTTTCATCTTGTTCACCGATCAAAGTGGAGACTAAGAGAAAGAAATTCCACGTAAGTGGCCTTAAGACTTGTTTTAATGTTGTTCCATTAGATTCTTTGGCTTCTTGCATGTATCTATGTAATTGTCCAACACAATAAGAAAGATATGGTCGTGTGTGAAGCAAATATATATCGAAGACACCCAATGTTTTATCTATATTTCTCGTCAATTCCTTGTTCTTCTGGAGCTTTAGAAAATTTCAAATCAGAGTGCATTTGTATCTGCTTCTCCCAAAATCTTTGTTGCATACCTTTTTTTTAATTATTCCAAGACAATTCTGCTTTCATGTTGAAATACCTCAATGCCAAATTAATAAGTTAACTTTTCAATGTCACTCATCTCAAATTTATCTGCCATCCCTCTTTTGAACTCAAATATAATGTTTAAATTGGAGCATGTGACGAGTAAGTCATCCACATAAACCGCTACAAGAAGTAGATACATTTTTCTCGTGTTCAAAATAGCGAAGGATTCTTAGAGCACTTAACAAAATTCAACTCCTTAAGAACTGTATTCAATTTGTTATTCTATACCCTTGGTGTTTGTCTTAGTTCGCAGAGCGCTTTATTTAATTTATATACCTTGTCTACACTTCCTTTAACCACAAACCCTTCAGACTTAACGAGAAGTTGGAGGTGACCAACATCTAGTTCTAGTTGAACGTTTGCCCCCAAACAACTGGTTCTTAGAATGTTTATGGATTTTTGTCAAGAACACCTAGATCAATTGTCTTGGCTCTTGTCCAATCTGTTTGTAGTATATCAGTGATGTCAACTTGTTATAACCTAATAAAAAAAACATCCTGCTGCGAGCACTCAAACAACGAGAATGAATCAAACACACGTGACACGTATGTCAATAGAATAAGCTAAACCCAACCGAACTCGTTTAAGAAGAAATCCCAAAATACTTCTAGGAATCGGACCTAATACATTTTCTTAGATACCACAGTTAAGTTTTTTTTTTGGTCAACGATGCAACATGAGTTTAGTCAACTGAAATAGAACAATGAAATTGTGCTCCTCGAAATAAATTATAAATATAACTACAAGCCCAAATTACTTCTTTTTGGGCTTAAGGCTGGCACAAGAGAGGAATACAATGAGATTTTGGTATTTGGCTTTTCGTGGTCAACAATAATCATTTTTCTCCAAGAAGATACTATATAGTTTTCTTTGGGCATTATTGTGCAGGCTAATATAAATATATATCTATATATATATGATTATAGATTGTTGAAGAAAAAAAATTGTATACGCCTGTTAAGGTCCCCATAAAGGCATGAGCGGCTCTCTTTTATATCTCAGTCAGAGAAATGCCGAAAGTATAATTCTTTTTTTTTCAATTATATGCTTCACTTTATAATATTTACTTTTGTTTATTGTCTTTTTGGATTCTACAAGAAATTGAAGAAACAAATTGCACATTTATGAGCTATTAAATGTAGGGGTTAGTAAATTAGAAGAGAGGACCCACATGAAATGCAAGTAAACCTATAATCAAGATAAATTAAAGGTTTCTGAAGAGTGCATGTGAATGTTAGTGTACAATCTACGAAGTTAGAAAATCAGACAACATGTGGATCCTCGTCAATTTGTCATAAATTTACTCACAAGTCATTAGCCTTCTACTCCTTAATTCTTGCTTCTTTAGTTGTAGTTCCCATTACTTTCTTCTAGTATCATATTTGTATTGACTTTAACTATACAATTGAAAGTTGCCAAAATTTAGATCAATTAGTACACAGTAGCATGCAATTTTCCTCACAACATATTTAGTAACAACACTTAAGATTCTATTTTATGGACCACATAATACAACAATATATTTCCTAAAGTCAATAATTGGTACATACATTATTCAACCAAAATTTGATTATTATACATAACAATACTAGTCCCCCTATACATTAAAAGAGAAGTACATTTGCCACATGGTACTCATACAGAGCTTCTCAGAAGAATTCTCATTATCTTATTGGTTGATTTTTTTTAGAATTTCTTTTTGATTTATTTTTATCATCGACAACCTAATAAGAAATCAACACTAATTACTAACCTCATTACATATTACTTGCACAAGAATATTAATTAATACATGTATTAATAAGTTTCCTTATTACAAATACGGTAAACCATTTACTCTTGATATCATATTGATTACATTGCTTAATGACATTTAACAATTTGTATCTAATTAGGAAACTTATTTTTATTAACTTACCTTACTAATATTGATTANACTAATTCTTATTTGCTTTTCTTGTATAATGTGACATGAAGGGTGAATGTTTATTTTGAGCTTTTGAAGGATTTAGCTTGTGTTCCACATTATTTTTAACACCCATTGCAGCTGATCCTGAGGTAATATTTCGTTTGTAAGTTTTTTCATTTTAGCTTCAAGTATCAAACAAAGTGCAAATACCTTAGTTTGACGTAATGTTGTCTTTAGACTCTGTTTTTTGTAATGAACTCATTGTTTCTTATATAACACAATTCTCGGCAACAGTGGACAGATGAGGTGACTGCAAACTCGCGGGATACAAGTTGTTCACTCGTCCTGGAAATCCAGTACTGCTCATTTGTTCTGAACTCACTGATGCTGTAGTGATCCCGTAAGTCTTTTCGACCACAAAAAGATCTGGCGTTAATAACATTTTGTTTGCCTTGGTAGTGATTTACGTCATAAACATTAACAAGTATCTTATAAGCCCATATATAATAGGTATCTTAATGTTGTAAGATCACTGTTATTAGCCCATATAGCCATATTTTCAATTAGTTATTTTTTTATAATAAATTACACTGGTTGCATAATTTCAATCCGAAGATTATTTACTTCACGATATTAAATGTAATTTACCATGTTTGTAATTTGTTAATTTTTTATTAATAACTTACCTTATTTTCATTGTGGATTACTTGCGCAACTTGATATCATATTTATTGCTTTGTTTACCGTTAGTTAATTAACTTAATTCGGTTTTAATAACTTACCTTATATTGAATACGGATTACTTGGGCAAGTTGATATCATATTTACTGTAGAGTAATTTATGACAATATAATAGGTATCTTAATGTTGTAAGATCACTATTATTAGTGCATATAGCCCATCTTTTAATACTTTCAATTAGTTAATTTTTTATAATAAATTACAATGGTTGCATAATTTGAATCCCAAGAGTATTTACTTCACGATTTTAAATGTAATTTACCATTTTTGTATATTGTTATT